TCCAGTGCAGTAAGTTTTAAGATTAAACCAATCAGTGCTTTGTGTGACCCAGTCCAGGGATTGAAGTATCCGCAACCATTGTGTTTATAATCTTAATTTCAGGGTTTTCATTCCGTAAGGCCTGCACCTCTCTAGTTCTCAGAACCTGGTTCTCATATCCTAACAGGAGGAGAAGGGGAGGTAGTAGTTCATGTACGTGGGATGCTGCCTGGTTATCCACTATGATCACTCTTTGCCAGCCCTGCTGCTAGCATCTCACCAAGCAGCAGGGTTGCAGGCCACTGCCACAGCATATCTTATGAGGACAGAGGAGGTACCTTTTGTCTATGAGCCTTAGACTAATAGTGGTGAACTCACCTGGTGAAGTGGTGGCATGGGACATGGTGTTCCAGGTATTTTTGTTTGCTTGCTTTTGTTTTGGCAGCGATCATGTATACCTTACCCTACTCATCTTAAATAATTACTTCTTCTTTCAGGGGTTACTGCATCATCTTGCTGTTTCCACAGTGCAGTTTTTTAACCACTGTTGGGGCTTTCCTAATCACTACTGGGGATGATGGCAATGATCTCCAATGACTCGTGTCACATGAAAAGAAAGAAAACTCCTGACATGAGGAGAGGGCTGATGACCACTCTGTTTATTAAAGGCACACATTGCCTTAAATATATAATGAGAACAAAAGCATTTTATACTGAAAGAGAACAAGAGGCATTTTATGAGAAAGGAGCTCAAAAGATAGTTTAAGGAAAGCATATATTTTACTTGAGATGATAGTGTTGGAGACAGTTGAGTTAACAGTACTGGGGACAGCTTGGGAAACAGCACAGAAAATGTCTCCCATGTCCTGCAGATGCAAAGCCATGGCCTCCCTCCAAGTTGTGCTATGCTCTGCCTTTAGAGTCTTATTAGGAACTGACCTTTTAGGAGACACCAGACCACATTACAGCTTAGAAGCAAAGTGCTTTATATACGCATTTTCGGTGCTGATTCCCACACACAGGCAGTGCACATCCTACACCCTTAGCCAGCTTAACAGATCAGGACAGTCCAAAAGAGTTGCTCATCTTGAGGAGCATTTCATGGTGTCCCATACAAGTGAAAGTCTGCTTACCTTCGCAGCCCCTAGGGACAGAAGTGCCTTGCTGCTCTCTTTCTATACAGATAGTGTGGGCCTGCCATCCAGCTCAAGGCACTACAGCAACCCTACTTCCCTCAGAATCTCCACCTCTGTTCAAACATACCTCCAGATTTCAGGGATTCTGTAGTATAGCAATCTCTATTTCCTGCAAAGGAAGCCACAGGAGGATAGTGCTATTCTGCTCTCTCAATTCTTAGGCTCACTGAATCATCTAAAAAATAACTGTGTGTGTGTGTGTGTGTGTGATTTTCTGAGTATAAAAACATTACTGTTTCAATAACTTTGTGGTGGGTTGAGAGGGACCCTTTGTGCCCTTTGTGTCTCTGCCTTATAGAATTTCATAACCATTTTACATCAGTGCTTTGTCACTAATGTGATTCTTACAGCATTCCTAATGAGGTGCAAGGTTACTGAGGTGTAGGAAAAAAGTCAATCAAGATTTTTATCTATCTGTACTGATTTATAATCAATTATATATCTCTAATTTCTTATATATTGTGGCCTCAAAATATTATTTATACTCAAGCTCATCATTTTGACAGCTTATTTATCAAAACATAAGTCTTCTAAAAATCATGCTCACATATTTGTAGGGTAGATTGCAAACAACCTTGTTATTTGCATCCTGGTACTTGTTAACTTCTGTTAGATTAGATTGTTCCTCATCTTTGTCTACATTTTAGGGCTACTAGGACTTCCTGCCAAGATGTCTCTATCTATTGTGCAAAACATAGCCTCTTACTGATGCTTAAATACTCAATCTCAACATCACTTCTGCAGAGCTTCTCTAGACAATTCCCCTTCCTTCTCTGCCTTGAGCTGTATGACTTCTGTGCACTTTCAGCTCCTCCAGTGCCTATTTGTTTTGTAGTGTGTCTTCAGTACTGTTACAACATCCACAGTACATTTTATTCTTAATAAATATATTTTCATGTATTTACCTATCCAGTCATTGAACACAGTAAGCAAGGTATCCTGAGGGAATGAGGTTTGATATTACTCATAATCATATTCTTCTGTCAAGTTTAAACAACTTTAGAAAGAAAGAAATCCAAGGATTCCAATTTTCACATCCAATAGTAAGTGGCAGCAAAAGTCTAAACACAAATTTATGTAGTTTAAAGAATTCACAACATTTGCTTTCTTGCAGAATTAAAGTGGATGCAACTTTGTATTATACCGAATGAAATAGTTTTTGTTCCTGCCACTCCTCTTATCAGCATTCCAATCAACTTTGCTCTTCTTAGCCTTTGAAAGAAACAGCTTCCAAAAAAGCAGCCAACTTCTAAACATTACCCACCCAGGTGATTTGTTTATATAATCCTAAACACTATGTGGACATAGTGTATATAGGAGAATATGAGGGTTTGTGATACTTGTCTCTGAAAAAGCCCATGATTAGTGAAAGAATATGGTAAAATTTGATGCTCAAAAAATCAAGATACATTAAGGATTTCACTGATTCTTGATACAAAAGGTTATAATTTTGATATGAATTGTAACTCTACACATGCAGTGGAGCTTACCTCTACACTTGCAGTTGTTGTTCTTTATCTCTACATGTGTAGTGCAGCAAGTCCTTTCAGTCTGAAACCTTTAAGGAAGGAAACATCTTTCCTACATGTGTTTGGTACAATATTGCCACCTGGTGTGAAGAAGAGAAGGGAAACATTAGCTTCAGTTGAAAAGTACAGAACTCAGTGTCTCAGTGACTGGCACTGTGTAAGGATGAATGACTCAAATGAGAGTTGTGATGAATTAAATATACCTGCATTGCTCTATGCTTATATATCATGAAAAGCTCTAGGAATATCTTTATTTACAGTTCAGAATAAAACAGGAGTGAACATTTTTAGTAATCACTAACTTGTATCACTACTTATAAGTAAAATGAGGTCTAGTCAAAAAGAAACAAGAAAAAAACAAAGTATCCACAGAGAAAAAAAATAGGGCATCACAGATAACTCCTGCATGAAGGAATATTTAAATGAATATGCAAGAGAGTACAGAATGATAAAGACAAAGAACAAACACCAGAAAACAATGTAATGGTAGCTAGTATTTATTGGCCAGACATCACACCATAGTCACCATTCCAAGCACTGCCTGTGTGTCATTTCAGGTAAAACTTGCAATGCTCTGAGGTAGATGTCACTTTCATCAGCTCCATTTCATGTGAAGTAATGAAAGAGTCCAACTGTTTCCAGATATCAGAAAGCAGGAAAATGGCAGGACCAGGCCTTAGCTCAAGAGTACCTGGTCCAGAGCCCACACCATCAACACAGAGCCTCACAGAACTCCCAGAAGGAGGCTATGAAGAGTTAGTAGGAAGGGGCAGCAAGGCATTGGCCTGAACAAGCAGATGAACAGGAGCTGGAAAGATAGAGGAAATATTTCAGACAACAGACAGAGCACCAGACAGAGCCACTCAACTTCTTTTCCTTCCTTTTCATTCATCTCACGAAATGAATGAGTCGGTGAAGAGTGAAGGACAATCATAAAAGAAGCAAAGGGGCTAAAGCCTTTCTAGGGTGGAAAAGAGGCACAAGAATTGGGGAAATTTTAGAAAACAACATCCAGTCTCCAAATATCAGCTCTTCCATCTCTAATGAGTAACTAGCCTGAATTTCTTCAGAGCTTAAAGGTGAAACCATGAAACACATCCATATTTTTAGTAACTGAGGAGAATTACAAATGCTGAAAAGCCAGAGGTAAATAAATATCTGAAAGCCTATAGAGGAGAACACATACAGACTTCAAAATACATAACCATGAATGTTAGAATACAATCTCTGGAGTGTTAAAAATACAACATTTAGATATAATCTGTGGGGTTGTTACAGACTACTAAATGCTTCATTTTGTGAAGGTTGCATTAATTCAAAACTATATTGAGTACCTAATAAATGCTATCATAAAGATTATATATTTTAAGTGGGGAAGATGGGTGCAGGTAGTAAATAATCAAATACATACAGGAATATAAAATAGGTTAAGCATTATAGTAAGCAACATGTGGTAGGGATGCCATGTGTAGGATGGTGAGAAAAGGTTCCTTTGGTTTTTTGGGGGTTTTTTGTTTTATTTTGTTTTGTCTTTTTGAGACAGGGTCTCACTATCCATCCAGGCTGGCCTTGAGCTCACTTTGTAGCCCAGGCACTTGCAACAATCCTCATGCCTCAGCCTCCTGAGTGCTATGATTACAGGCATGAACCACCACACCTGGCAGAGAAGGTAATCTTTTGAGAAAAAAGTGAGATAATGGACTACTCAGGTAGTGGGAAGTGCTAGTGCAATGGTCCTGAGGTTGGCGGGTACTCGGAGAGTTCACAGCAGAGGGGGTCTGTGCGGCTATCTGTACATGGAGAAAACATGTATCACAAACAACATCTGAGAAGGAACAGGGGGAACAAGACTGGAAGTCCTGAAAGTTTTGAACAGAGCAATAGTTATAGTGTCTCAGGACCATTATGCTTGCTTTATGGGAAACAAGATAAAGAAATACCCAGGCCACATATTATCCCCTCCCTCTTCCTTCACAGCAAGGTGCTGGTCTCGCTCACATCAATAGCCCTGTTGCCACGCACAGTGTCTGACATAACAGTGACAGTTGGATAAAACCTTTGGCAGTGCCACTAGAACTACAGCCCCGCACTGGTGCCAGAGGAGGAAACACTCACTCATCCACATTGAAGCAAAGACTATGGCAAGAGTCATGTCTTGGACGTGGTGGTAGTTGACTAATTATCAGCTTGAGTGGGAATGCCCAGTTGATTTGAGTCAGCGTGGTTGCTGAACACTATAAAAGGGAAATGAGAGGGAAGGGTTTCAGCTGATCTTCACTGAAGAAGCTTCGCTGGGGCTGCTCTTCTTCAGGAGAGTTCGGTGGTGTTTCTTCACAGGAGCCTTGGTTTCTTTCCTTTTTTGGGAAAGCGTCAATCCTCATCTCAGTTTGGATGTCTTCTCCTGGCTTCCAGTGCTGATCCCTCAGCCCTATGGCTCATATCCTTCAGCCTTTTGGCACAGACACTTGAGCTTCTGGCACTGTCCCTTGGGCATTTCCAGCACAAATCCTTCGGCCTCCCATCTTGCATCCTTCAGCCGCCTGATTCTGACTTGCACAAGCCCTCAACTGGATCCTCGGGTCTCTAGCAGCAGGCAGAGGTCTTGCACTCTTCTATAACTACTGTAGTAAGCACTGATTAATACAGAGGTGCTACAAGGAATGCAAATGGGAAGAGATAACATTCCAAGCCTGTTTTGCCTCCTGTCAGTTTCCTTGAAAATCTCTCTTTTCCACTCACCGCCACACCAACAAGTCCAGATGGACATGCAAAACTGGACCCTATCTGCCTGGAAAACTGAAACCTACCTTGTTTGCATCCTTGGTGCTAGACGGTGGGACTCTGGGGAGGCTGTTGTACAACATCGGCATTTATTAAAAGCTTCTGTGTCATCCCAGAGCTACAACCAGCAGGGACGAGACGTGGGATGAGACTTCACATGTATCCAAGAGACATCCTAAAGAAACAACATCTCCCTTAGCTTCCTGTTAGAGCTTCTGTGTACCCACTTTGCAACAGAGCAAGGGCAGGAGCCCAGTGCTTCGTAAACGAGAGGTTCTGGTTCAGGAGCAACTCCTACCCTTCTCCACTGGGTGGTGTCTGAATCTTAAGTAGATCAGTCATTCAGAGAACAGGCATCATGTGGACTCTGACTCCCAGTTTAACTGTGTCCTATGAAGCCAAGGTTGCATTTCTGTCCTTTTCAATCCTCGAGTTTGCAGTGGGGATCCTGACCAATGCATTCATTTTCGTGGTGAATTTTTGGGATGTGGTAAAGAGGCAGCCACTGAGCAACTCTGACCTTGTGCTGTTGTGCCTCAGCTTCATCCGGCTTTTCCTGCATGGGCTGTTGTTTCTGGATGCCATCCATCTCATCTACTTCCAGAAGATGAAAGATCCACTGAGCCACAACTACCAAGCCATCATCATGCTCTGGATGATTGCACAGCAAATCAGCCTCTGGCTCACCACCTGCCTCAGCCTCCTCTACTGCGCCAAGATTGTTCGCTTCTCTCACACCTTCCTGCTCTGTGTGGCAAGCTGGATCTCGAGGAAGCTCTCCCACTTGCTCCTGGGTTCTATTCTCCTCTCCTGCGTCTGCACTGTTGTTTGTTTGTGGGACTTTTTTAACAGATCTCGCTTCACATTCACAGCTATGTTATCCGGGAACAATACAGAATTCAATGTACAGATTACAAAGCTCAGTTTCTTTTATTCATTTCTCCTCTGCAATGTAGGGTCTATCCCCCCTTTCCTATTGTTTCTGGTTTCTTCTGGACTGCTTATTATCTCCCTGGGAAGTCACATGAGGACAATGAGGGCCCAAACCAGAGACTCTCGGGACCCCAGCCTAGAAGCCCACATCAAAGCCCTCATAGTTCTGGTCTCTTTCCTCTGTTTCTCTGTGGTGTCCTTCTGTGCTGCTCTGGTATCAGTGCCTTTGCTGCTGCTGTGGCAGAACAAGGTCGGGGTGATGGTCTGTATAGGGGTGATGGCAGCCTGCCCTTCCGGACATGCAGCCATCCTGATCTCAGGCAACACCAAGCTGAGGAGGGCAGAGGAGATGATTCTAAGCTGGGTTCACAGAGGCCTAAAGGTAAGAACGGACAGCAAGGCAGATCCCAGGACTGCTACCGGACATGAAATGTGCTCTTCATGAATATGTCTCTGATTCCTCAGGAATATACCTGTGACTCTTTATGAAGCTTTCTCATCTCTACGAAACATAACTAGAAGTCCCTCTGCTTTACATCTATGGACTCACACAAGAATAAAGTCACTATAGCTGCTAAGTGACATAGGAAAGTAAACTAGCATTGGTTTCTTGGTCGGCTTCTTTTATTTAGTAATACACATTGAAGTTTTCACTGTATCTTATCATGGCTTAAAGCTCATTTCTTTTGGCGTTGCATAATATCCCACTGTCTGAGTGTACCACACTTTATTTATCCATTCCCTTCCCAGAGGGAATTTTGTTGCTTCCAAGGATTGGTAACTATGAATAAAGCTGCTGCAAATATTCATGTGCAGATTCTTCAGTGGAAATGAATTTTCAGCTCCTCTGGGTAATTTCCAAGGAAATCAAATGCTCAGTTGTATAGTAAAGTATGTTTAATTTTCGAAGAAACCATCCAATTGTCCTCCAAAGTGGGTGTACCATTTTGCATTCCCAACATCAGCAAATGAGAAATCCTATTGCTCCGCTTGCTTGCAAACTTTTAGTGCTCTCAGTGTTCTGGACTTTGGCCATTCTAACAGGTGGGTAATGGTATCTTGTTTTACTCTGCATTTCCCTAAAAACATATGGTGTGGAGCACCTTTTCAATGATTACTGGCATGACTTTATTTTAACATTATATTTTTGAAACTCATGCATAATATTATATGAATCACTATTGGTACAAAAGTTGAGTCTAAAGTTTTGGAGCTATTATGAATAAAGTTTATATAAACATGCTTTTTGTGGACATAGTTTGTATTTCTCTTAGATAAATACCTAAGAGTGAAGTTACTGTGTCATAAAGTTGAGGCAAATTTAACATTATAAGAAAGTGCTAGAGTTTTCCAAAGTGATCTTAACATTTAGGTACTCATCCACAATGTAGGAAAGTTATTCTCATTCTCACTGACAGCAATTTGGTGCTGCCAGTCTTTTTAATTTTGGTCATTTCCATGGGAATGAAATGATTTTAATTTGCATGTACCTGATAAATAATGATATAGAGTACCTTTTCTTGTACTTCTGGGTCACTTATACAGCTTAAACTGTAAAGAAGGTATTTGCTTGCCCATATTTTTACACCAAGGTGTCTTTTTATTGCTGATTTGTAGGATTTATATGTGTGGTTTTATGTGTGTGTATATATATATACACAACTCATATATATCAGTTTTATATTGATTTCTCTTTTTATTATTGATCTGTAGAAGTTTTGAATGTGTATACAAAATATATACCTATCTACATATTTGTATGTTTGTGTGGAACAAAATATATCCATATGTAAATTCTGAGGACAATTACTTTGTATGATATATAAAATATTTTACCCAAACAGTTTTTCTTTTCATTTTCCTAATACAGTTTTTATGAGAATTGTGAATGTTAAAAAGTCCAATTTGTCATTTTAATGTTTATCTTTAATGTTTGTGCTTGTCTCATCTAAGAAATGTCCTCCTGACTCCAACATACAAAAACAGTCTCTTATGATTTCCTGTAAAACTTTAATGATTGTCATTTTTATGTTTGGAACTATAATTCATCTTAAGTAGGTTGAAATTTATTTTTCATATCTCTATCCAGGTATCCCAGTATCATTCATTGAAGATTTTCTTTCCTAATTGAATCCACTAGACATTGCTGTATAATATCATATAACTATATATATGCAGGAATCTCTTCCTGGTCTCTATATTGTGTTCTATCTATGTCTAGTTATAACCAATATTGTAATTTCTTGTGTACCATAGGTTCCTAGTAAGTTCTGAAGCCAGGCATTGTGCACCTTCCAAGTTTACTTTTCAAAATGTTTTTGCTAATCTGAATCCACAAATTTTTGGAAAATATGTGCATGTATACATGATAGTTTATGTATTACATATATAATCTCCTATTGGAATTCTAATTGTTATGTTGAGTCTAAATCTCAGGAGGGCAGGGGAGGGAAAAAAGAATGTTATTATGTTTTCATTTTTTTATCTTTAAAATAAAAAAAGAATTCATGTGTGTCATATACACACAACAATTTCCCACAATGGATGCATTATGTACTACAGACATGTATTAATAAAAACAAAAAATTTAAAATAAAAAATATTTAGTCTGACACTGTCTGAATAGGAATATCTCTTAAGTATTTAACTTCTAATGTAATTTTTTGTAGAAGTATTTTGATAAAGTTGTCCCTAAGTATTTAATATTTTATAATGTTATTACATATAGAACTGTTTAAAATTTCATTCAATTATTTGCTGCCAGTATATAAAAATTTATTGTTGTACATTAATCATGTATTTTATGACTTTTCTAAATTAATGTTGTTAGTAGTTGTTTATATTCTTTGAACTTTTATACTTAATCATGTCATCAGCAAATAAAAAAACTTTTCTTCATCAACTTTATATACTTTACTTAGTTTATTTCACTGGTGAGAATTTCCAGTAAAATGCCAATTAGAATTAACATGTGGATATATCCTGGCCTTATTCCCATTTTTAATGGGAAAACATTCATAACTTTTTTGTTTAGTTGTAGGTTTTTTTGAGACAGGCTGTCACTATGCAGTTCAGGCTGGCCTTGACTCATTATGTAATCCAGGCTGGCTTCGAATTCACAAGGATCTTTCAATTTCAGCCTCCCAAGAGCTGAGACTAGAAGTGTGCACCACCACACCTACCCATACTTTTATCATTAGGTACAAATAATGTTAGCTGTAGATCACTTGTAGATTCTCTTTATCAGATTAAGAAAAAGCACTTTTATTCATAACTGGATGACAGTATTATCATCTAAGTGTATTGAATATTATTCAAAGCCTTTTCTGTATTTATTGATATGATTCTATGGTTTCTTCCCCCTATTTTGTTAGCAACCACACTAAAAACTGTTATTAATTACATTAAATAATTTTTGAATGTTAAATAAATGCCATTTCGGGGATAAGGCTTGTTCAGTCATAGTGAATTATGCTTTTTATACGTTGCTGTGTGACTGTTAAAGTATTGTTAAGAATCTTTGCACATATTTTCATGTGGAATTCAAACTTGATTTTTTTCTACTTCTTTCCTCCTTTTTTTGTTAAGTATCTTTGTCAACTTAAGAAACATTTTCTCTACCCTTATCTTCTTAAAGATCTTGGGTAAGATTGGTATCACCCATCTAAATATTTGTTATCATTTACCAGGAAAACCATTCAGGCCTGAAATTTCCTATTCTAGAAGCTTTCTTCTTTTATAATTACAATTCATTCAATAGATACAGTACTCTCAAGATCTTCCATTTTCTTCTTGTGTCTATTATGATGCTATATTTCTCAAGAAATGTGTCCATTTTAATCTGTTTTTGCATTAGTGCCATACATTTGATGAAAACATGCCTTTAATAACATTTTAAAGTCTGTGGTATCTGTTTTACAATATCCTCCTACTGATCTGTCAATTTCTTGATTTTTTTTCTTGAAATTTATCTCATTTGATTTTTCTCTTTCTTTTCTTTTACATACTTTTATCATTTTTTTACTTTTATTATTTATTATTCTTTTCCTTCTACCTTCTTTGCTTTAATTTCTCTTCCTGTTTTAGCTTCTTAAAACAGAATTACATCATTAATTTTAATTTTTCTGTTTAATATAAATTTTTAAATATTTAAGTTTCTTTTGAAACATTTTTTTGCTGCATCCCACCAATCTCAATAAGTGCATTTTCGTTTATATTTGAATGTTTATCTAATTATCCTTATACTCATCTAATCTGTGTGTTGTTTATAATTGTGTTGCTTAGCTTTTGGAAATTGAAGCCTTCACTAGGTGTCATTTTGAAATGTATGTAGACTTATTCTATGGCCCAACATATTGCCTATCTTTGTGAATAAGCCATGCAAATTTGAAAAATGAGTGTAGTCGTTGAGCATGGTACTTTGTGACTAATCAGATTCAGGTGTCTGGTAGTATTGTTCACATCTTCTACATCCTTACTAATTTTTTGTCTCATTATCTCAAATACTAAAAGGTATAAAAGCATCATTTGCTGTTAACTGTGGATTTGTCTACCTCTCTCTCTAATTCTTTCAGTATTTCCTTCACCCTTCTTGAAGATCTGATATTAGATACTTAACGTATTTATCATTAAAATGTTTATTTGATGAACCAACACTTTTATGATTTGAAAATTACTCTTTTTATTTCTCATAATGCTTGTTTTAAAGGCTACCTTGACTAAAATTAATATAATCATTCTGTCTTATGTGCTTTCACAATACCGTCAACCAAAAATCCCCTATCCAGAAAAACTATTCTTTGAAAACTCAAACAGAAGTTGACAGAATTTGTTACCACTAGATTTTCCCTATGAGAAATGCTTAAATAGGAGTCCTGCAAGGTGAAATAAAAAGAACTAAATAAGAACTCAAAGCAATACAATGAAATAAAGATCTCAATAAAAGTAAATACATGGGCAATTATAAGCACTAATATTATTGTAACTTTTGCTTGCAATTCATTTTGTTTTGTACATAATTTAAAATACTATTTAAACAATAATTACTTTGTGTTTTTTTAGTTATACAATCATAAAGATGTAGTTTTGTGCATAAACAACAGAAAGGGAGTCAGAGCACCAGAGCTTTGAGCTATTGCAATTAAACTGGCTTACATTCAAATTAGAAAGTTATAACTTTAGATATTAAATGTAATCTCACAACTAAAATAGCTATAGAATGTACACAAAAGGAAATAATGAGATAATTCAAATATTTCACTACAAAACACAAAACAACTTCTGAGTAAACACAAAAGAAGATAATAATGTAAGTATTAAAGAGGAGAAAAGCCAAAAATCATGCAGAAACTATAAAGACAGATGTCCTCCTTATTAGTAATTACTTGAAATTTAAACAGATGAAACTCTCCAATCAAAAGACAGACATTGGCAGAATGTATAAAGACACATAATTTAATATCTGGTGTATCCTATATATACTAAAGATAAAGATAAAAGAGAAAAAGAGAAAAGATTTAAAAAGATATGAATATTAACCAAAAGACAGCTGGAATGGCTATATTAATGTATATTACATTTGAAATAAAAAAGTTAAATATATATACATATATACATATAAGTTACATACATATATAGTATATATGTATGCTATATATACATAATTTACTATATACTATATACCAGAGACTCATTTTAAAGTCAAAGACATATATTTCTTGTATACACAGGATAGCTAAAATAGTTGTACTACTGATTTCTATTGCTTTATTGAAATAAATACTTAATGTTTAATTGTTTGATCATTCTTATATGCCTATATTTGTTTATCTGAGTAACTAATTTGAAGATACCAATATGTAATACAAAACCCATTGTTAATTTCTGATCACCGTGTCTGAAATTCTGTATTGTTTGTATTGTTTTTGTGTTATTTTGTAAATATATGTTTGTTAATGTTTTCATTCTTTTACGTTTAAAATAAAAAAGTTAAATAAAATAAGATAAAGTCAAAAACATACAGATTGAAAGTGAAAAGATAAAAAAAGATATGAATATTAACCAAAAGACAGCTGGAATGGCTATATTAACATCACATAATATGGACTTCAAATTTTAAAATTACAAGAATCAAAGATATCACATGCTAATAAAAGATTCAATAAAGTAAGAAAATACAAGCATTTATGGACCTCATGATAAACCCTCACAATATATAAAGAAAACAATGTAATTAAAGGGAGTAATAGACAGGTCTATGGTAATAGTTGGAGAATTCAATTCCTCATCCTCAACAATGAACAGAACAACCAGACAAACAATAATTAAGGGTAGAGGACTCACATAACACAATAAATCAACTTTATCTCAGAGACGTGTATAAAACACTGTATCCAACAACAGTATATACATTCTTCTGTAGTGCACATAAAACACTTCACAGGATATAACCAAATATGAACCCTTGAATTTCTTCAATAGATTTAAAAAGTAGAAAAGATACTACTACAAAGAAGAAGGATATTGGGGGAGGAGGAATGGAAGAGGAAGAGAGGTAATGGAGTGATAAGTACTATCAATGTTATATGCACCTATACATATCCC